ACTACTACAATAATATTTATTTTTAATCACACTTTTTAAATAAGTGTGATTATATATATATACTTTTAATCACACTCCCTAAATATGTGATTGTATAAAACATTTTAATTTGATTTTAAATAAGTGTGATTACGTATATTACTACCATACCCCTCTCTATATGTATGTATGTCTTTATCTTTTTGAGTTATTTTAGGGTTAGGTTCACACTCACATAGACACATCGCCTCTCTCTGCTCTGCTCACACGACTGCTGCTCTCTCATAGCCGACGTCGCTCCTTCCTCACTGACGTCTCCCTTCTCCCTCACCAGCGTCTTCCTTCTCCCTCTCTCAAACCGCTGTACGAAGACGAACCAAAGTTCATTATGATTTTCGCCCCCCAATTGACTCTTTCTCTGGTATGATTTGCCTCTCTCCTCTATCAACTCTTCGATTTGCCTCTCCTTCTCACCATTTTCAGCTCACCGATTTTTGCTATTTTCTAAATCTTTCATCTCTATTTGGTAAAACCCTAGCTCTTGATTTATTTTTTATTTTTAAAATGGAATGGATTTTATATGGTTTGATCGATTTTGATTCTTATCTGAATGTTTGAATTCTGCTTTGCTTCAAGGTTAGGTTATGAGCTTAATCACAATCTTATAATTATATATATTTTTGGAACAAATTATTTCTCGGTTCATTTTTGTAGTTATATACATATTCTTTTGCCTCTATTTGTCTCATTTATGTGCATATGTAGAGGTGTAGAGATATATGTGGTAGTTGTGTGAGTAACTACTTGCAATTTTTTGTTTTGACTTTGGACATAGTTGGTGATTAGAAAGGATGTAGTTTTGTTGTTGAATGAATGGCAATTATGTGAAGTGTATGTATTATATTTGGTGGGAGAACAGCTTTGGTTATTTATTAGAGTGCACCAGGGCACCCGAACACTGCTATGTAATTGTTAAATGATCTAATTATTTGTTCAACTAAGTCACCTGTGGGCAGTCCCATAATCATTTTACTTTTTCTCTTACAAATATCACATCTAACTACAAAAAAATCTAATCATCTTTCCAAGCACAAAAATTTTAACCTACTAAAAAATAGCTAAAAACTAAATGGGGTACTAAAATAGCCAACTTCCCAAACACCCACATTATTTGTCAATCCATTCCAGTTATGTCTATTCCTATTGTTTGTCATTAGATTGTCTTTAGAACACTTATTGAGGGGTGATTGTGCAGGATGAATGGGAGAGCAAAATTGAGGGAGCAGGTGGACATGTTCATAATAAGATCAAGAAAGGTATATGGTCTATGTACTGAGTTCTGAATTCTTCTCGTTTATTTGAGATGTGTTTAGGCACTTTTACTTCAAAAATTACATTACAGACACACACTGCTTAGTTGTGAGTGGAGTGCTGGATAATAAAGAGGCTGACATGAGGAAGGAAAGGTAAAGCTGTGCCTAATTGCTGGCCTTTAAGTGTAGTTATTTATTAGTCATTTTGTTGACTTGTAGTGGTTTCATTGGAACAAGAGGATGAAAATACCTATCATTAGAGAGGACTATCAGGTTGATTGT